CTTTCCCTTCTTTTCCTTTCCTTTCCCTTCTTTTCCTTTCCTTTCCCTTCTTTTCCTTTCCTTTCCCTTCTTTTCCTTTTCCCCTTTCTTCCTCTTTCTCAAACACCTTGCTTCCCCTCCACCGTTGCTAAGGAAATAATTTTCCAGGTGTACACAGAACTGTAGAACTGAAGCTACCAGCCAAAATTACTGGAAATCTAAGCCATTGCTCCTGCAACAAAACTGCTTTAATTTGGGTAGCAGCCTTTCAGGTGCTAATTCTCGAGGCTGTCTCTTGCCTTCCACCGCTGCCGCTGCCGGCCTTTTCGCCCCTTTTGGGGAAGGCTCCTTCCCTTCTAGCTGTTTAAAACACATCGCGCTGCACCTCTGCCAGAGCTTCCCCAAACCGGAGAGTTTTACCCACATAAATAAAGCCCCTGTGTGCGCAGTGCAATCTCAGCGTGACAAAACTTGTCTTATGAAGGGCGACAGCGGTGAGCCGGGCAGAAAGGGAAGAGAGAGACACACGGCAGAGAATTTCATGGGTGTCTGCTCCCGCCAGCCGTGGCTCTCAGCTTTCAGGTTAACTTTCCCCCAGCTTCTGCAGACAACTGTGCTGAGACTCGGACTCATGAAAAGGGACCTGAAATCCACCGTCTCTATCTGGGCTCAATTTAATTATTTTGCAATTTTGGCAGTTTTCACTTAGTTGAAAAACTCGTGGGTTTAAAGCCTCTTTTTTTTCTTTTTTTTTTTTTCTTTTTTTTTTTCTCTTCACCCCCTAGTTCTCCAGTTTCAGCAGCAATTTTAGCTTTTGAAACAGCAAACATCAAAATATTTCAGTACAGGTTTCGCTCAGTCCTTCACTACTATTTTTCTCTGTTAAGACCCTTTCTAAGAGCTATGGGTTTTGTTGCCCATCTTGTAGCCCTGTGGGGTAAAGAACGTTGTATTGGGACTTCATGGAACAAAACTGGCTTTTTGATTGTTTGTTTGTTTCTGCATTTGCTTATTATTAGTGTTTGAAATACTCCATGGGCAAACTTGCCAGCAGAAGTATTCCCTCGCATTTTTACTTAGTTTCCTAGAAAAGGAGGTTGGCTTTCCCCCCTTAAAAATAAATACAGTCAAGTAGCAATTGGTTCAAAGAGGAGCTGGTGCAAAGTATTTAAATAACATTTTATATGTGATTATGTTGCAATTTTGTTTTACCCAATGAAATACTGCCGGGCAGCGGTTTCAGGAAGCATCCCTATGCTTAAAAAAGCAACCGTGTTCAAGTTTGATTCCTACCTGTTGTGCCTTTTAAGCCAGGATTACCTATAACACCTGTCACATAGAGTTACCCAGGCTCACTGCAGCTCTGGGAAGCTACAATATGGGCTGTGATTAATTTGAAGATTTCAGAATAATACTGTTATAAAAGCTACACTCTGGACAAAAATAGGATTAAGCTCCGAGGCTGTATATGAGCTAAAAGTGTTGAAAGCTAAAGTCCCTGTGCCATTGCTCACGACGGGCAGTTTAAAATGACAGACTTTGCTAAATTCATGTTAAAATAGAAGTGTTTTCAATTATTCATCTTCATTGACTTCATATTGTCTTTTTTTTTCCCCCCACTGCTTAAACTGATAATTACTTTGAGCAAACAGGCAGCCGGTTCCCATAGAAATGCTTTAATAGAAACGGGCAAAAGTTCTTGTAGTAAAACCTTCAACCTCGCCGCTATAATAAATAAGCCCGGCACTTTGATGAAAATTAACACTAGTTTTGTAAAGAGCACATTGGGGGATTGCAGTCAGGTCTTATCTTTAGTTCCAGTCAACTAGCAATCCTGAAAGAGTTTGCATCATCA